GGGAAAAAGAAGCCATCGAGACGCCTTTAATTGGTTTTAAACGATATAATTTCATATATTTTGCTATACTATACATAATATAGGTACCATATAGTTAATAGTTATAATAATATAATAATTGTCATATATATAAAAAAAAATAAATATAATATAATGCGCGTGTGTTCACAAAACCGGATACACCATAACTCGGTTACTTATGGTTCTCAGTCTCCTTCACATATTTTTGAATTCAGTTTGCGTCACACGAGTCTTATTACACGACATATTTATATTTGAAACATCGCGATCTCGTTTTCTATGGATATTAAAATATCATTCCAACCGAAAAGAAGTTATAAATCGTTTTTCGCGACCCGATGGATGCATATTATTATAATGGCCGATAATGTAAATAAATTATGCATAGGACCAGGGGCGTCATTTGGGGGGGGTCAGGGTGTGCGGTAGCACCCCTTAATTTTTAAATACTTCCAATTGGCCTGCGCCCTGCTGAAGCCTTGGCCTGCGCCCCGCTGAAGCCTAAAAATAATGCACGAGCTACGAATGCACAATTATTAATATGATTAAAATTAAATCGTATTTTAATTTTTAACTTTTATATTGACATTTTATCAATATTGGTATACTGTCAATCATGATTACAACTTTAAATTACAAATATAAACAAATATCGCTTTTGTAGAAACTTTAAAAATTATTTCATTGGCAAAAACTTTACCAATTACAACGGCATCAAATGAAAGGTTTTTTTCATCACTTAAAAGAGTTAAGTCATATTTACGTACTACCATGGGTGATGAAAGACTTAATGATCTGATGGTACTTAATGTTGAAAAAGAAGAAGTTAACAATATAAATTTAGAAGAAGCTGTAGATATATTTGCTAAACTAAAAAATCGACGATATCCGCTTATTTAAATAAAAATTTGTTTTTTCTAGCGCTTTGCTTTTTCCAAAATTATAATAATTATGAAAATAAATGACAATTTATTAATATAGATATTAAGTCCTTTTTTTTTTATTTGCTGCTGCATTAATTCTTCTTCTAGCTTATTATGCATAAATTATTATTGGTTTTCACTGTTAAGGTAATTAATTATTTATTATATTTTAGTATCTTAATTGATATTTACTATTTATTTTGATGCAATGATTCCGAATTTATTCGGTCCATAATGTATAGAAATAATTGAAAACAGGATAATGCACGTTTGTATATCTATTTTTATATGGCCTGGTGAAATTTCAAAATGGCCTGCTTGAAACCTCGCACACCCGAAAAAAAACCTGAAATGACGCCCCTGCATAGGACATTTACGCCGAGTAGTGTAATATACGTATATCCAATACCATAGTTGCCTAGGTATAACAATCAGCAGTATATATTATATTGTAATACGGTTGCAGTTAGGTAGGCATATTATACTGCACTGTTATAAACCGTGGTATAGGTAAGTAAGTACGTACTCGCAGCTGTCGTCGTCAAATAGATAGTTCAAAAGTCTGGAAAACGCGTACCTGTATATACGTCGTATACGTTTTAAATCACGGCAACATCGAGTGCGAAAACCGTGCGATTTCTACTCGCTGGGCACCCAAACAGAATAAATCTATAAATCTGGTTTCGGTGGCGGTAGTGAGTATAATATAATATATTTTACATCGTCACGACGTATATTTTACCTATAAATCGCAAGTCGGAGGCGTAGAAAGTTTGCGCGCCTAGCTCGCGCGCGAACAATAAGGCCGTTATATTATTACAGTCGAATATGGCTGTGTATAATATGTATATAATGTATTTGTATATATATATATATATAAGTAGGTATACACGATCGTACAACATTGTATTATTATAATTATATATATATATATATGCCTATGTGTATATAATAATATATAGATGTATATAACACTATACACATATATTACTGAAACATAGAAAACAAAAGAGTTCATTTATTTTGATTTGACTATTATTCATAGAAATACAGCTAATTAACCTGTCATTTGTTGGTAGTATTGTTAAACAATTTTTATGTCTCCATTGACCATGTGTCTCTACAAAATTTGGACTAAATGAATTTTTAATGTCAGGATATTCATATGAAGAAACAGCCCCTTTACAACATTTAATATTTTCAATTTTATTAATAAGTGATATGAAATCCTCGGTATTTTGAATTTCATTAATTGATGTAATTCCAATATCCAATAAGCTGATCATTTTCCCATTAATGTGCAATATTAAATCAGAATCTAGAAAATATAAATACAATAAATTATATATATTGTTTATCAAATATTTAATACAAAAACAATGTGCAAGAAAAACGTAAATTATATTGTTATCTATATTATTATTTTTACTATTTTTGTACAATTTGTTATTAATTATTATACTGAATAAGAAAAAGAAAAAAAGTACACTTTAGCATAATAAAAAATAATTAATAAATATACGCACCTTGGTAAAAACAAGGTGTTTTTCAATACATCTTGGTACATTTAACTTGAATTTACTTAGTGTATGAAATGAAAAAGGTAATATAAAATCCTTTGTTCCATATTCTAAATTTTTGAACCAATTGTCCATCAAAGGAACCATCTTTATATTTTGCAATATCTGAATGAATAACGTATCCATGTATTAAAACAAAAATACTTTTGTTAGTGTTTAGAACTGACTCTACAGAATATTATAATTTAAAACCTATAGATATACCTTCCTTTTTTTTGGAGCTGAATGATGTTCTATCATTGTTGATTCAGCACATGGTGTAAAAGAAAAATCATTAATAGAAGCGTCTGCTGTTTGACTACTAGTTGATGAATTTTCTTGTAGAATTGCATCAAAGTCCTATTATTTAATAAAATATAAATAGGTAAGATACATAAACAAGATTTAAGTCAGGAATTAAATAACATAAATTCAGTAAATTATATTATAGTATATATTTAAATAGGTATTATACATTATATAACAGTAAATATCAATTTTTAAATATACCTACCTCCTGCATGTTGTTATTTGAAGTTGAAAACAATGATAGGTCAATACAAGTTAATGATGGTATTGCACCTTTCTTCAACTGCTTCCTTTTATAACATACCTGTAAGTAAACATTTTATTTTGACAAACATTCATTGTTTTTTTAGGTATAAATAGGTATATTAATTTTGTAGATTTGCTTTACATTGTTTTTAATGTTCTCTGTATCTTTTTAAGTACCTACATAGTACATACCGAATAATTATTCAAACCAGAATTCCAACAGCTTATTATGTCGCATTCATTAAAATGAGAAGCACATGCGCGATGGCTTTTTTTTAATTTCATGCCTAAAGCCTCCTCCCATTTATATTTTTCCAACTCATTCTTCGGTACTCCAAAAGTGGTGTTTGCCACAGAATGTGGTGAGCGAATGCAACAAGACATTTTTGGGCAGGCGCGGATCTAGAACATTTACGGGGGGGCCATCTTAAATAAAATTTCTGCCTAAGTCTGATAAAAACATTGTACATACTATGTAAGCTAATAGGCAAATATTATTATTTAAACCCAGTTTATCAGTACAATAAAATATTTAAAATAATTTGATAAGTAATATAGATGGTTTAATTAATAATGATACGTGATACACATATAATAAATAATAATTAATAATAAAATATAACAAATATTAAGAAGTGATCACAGAACAAAATCCTTTCGTTTTTTAAATAATTAGATAAGTAATATAAATGGTTTAATTAATAATGGTACGTAATATATAATAAATAATAATTAATAATAAAATATAAAAAATGCCGAAAATTGATATAATAGAAAATCCAAAAGTCTACGGGGGGGGGCATGGCCCCTTGCCCCCCCTTGGATCCGCGCCTGTTTTTGGGCTAGACGGCTAGTTGTAACTTGTAACTTGTAACTTAAGAATAATTCACAATTTTTTATATATTATATTAGAACGAGATGTTATGTCAGTGCGTAAAATACTGTAGTAAATCACAGACGATAAAAAAAACAAATTCCTGAATCCCGATCGTACGATACCTAAATTAATAAAATATAATAATATTTTTATACACAATTACACTGTGGTCTACCGCCATGCTATCTATGATTGCAGTCAAAACCACATATTATATTAATTCTTGTGAATTTATTGATCAATAGACGGCGCCACCAAGCAGTCAGATTAACTGTAAGCCATGAACTACTACACAGGACTGGACACTATTGGCAGGAGGAGAGTAGGGGGTCGTCCACAAAGTTGTACATATTCGGTACACATGCGACACAGCGCCATCTGTGAGATAAGAAATATTTTGTTATATAAAATACCGCCTTAGTAGTTCATGCTTAAACTGTTCACTCTTTAAGCAGTAATTATTTTCTGATAATATTCTATAAATAGTATCATTATTATCTTGAACTGTGTTATTAATAATTGTTTTTCAAAAATTAAAAAGTAAATTTATTATCAGTTATTATCACTAATATCACTATTCTTTAGTGTTATCCTATAAAAAACGTAGTTCGTACTACTAACAGGCAGAGTGCAGTTACATCGCATGTGTACGAACCCTGTACAACTTTGTGTCCGTGATTTTCTCTGTAGTGTCCAGTCCTGTGTAGTAGTTCATGCTGTAAGCTGCACTATCGTGGTCGCTTCATACGTCGTCATTCAACCATACTATCTTTAATCACAGAACAATGCTTTAATCGTGGTTGATAGTTGTTTATGTTTTTAATTTATACGATGTCCATGATCTTATAATCACAATAACTAATGTTGAGTATTTTTTGATATTATATTATTATAACTAGTTATAAAGTTATTTTTTTCTGTGTTGTTAGTTATATAATGTAATAACAATATTTACTAATTATAGCGTTATTCTAACTAATAAGACTTAATTTTGTTTCTTATACGTTTTCTCTTACCTCTCGTATATTCTTTATTAGTAAATAATTTAACACTAATACATTTCATATGGAGAAGACATCAGATACAATAATTAAGGAACTATTCAACTCTTTGGAGCAGAAAGTGCCTTATGTTCCTGAATCAGATGTTATGTCTACTAAGTCGATGGTAGATTCCAATAAGAAACACAAGCGACATGATAAATCAAAAAAACATAAAAAACACAAGAAAAAATCGAAGAAATCCAAAAAGAAAAAACGTCATACAAGGTCCAATTCACTAGATGATTACATAGTGTTGAAACTCAAGAAGGATAAGCTAGAAGAAGCCAAATCTGGTATGCCAGTATCCTTAGATGTGATCATGGAAACAATTGTGACTACGGCTAATGAAAAAAGTGAGGAGGTCAAAGACGTTAAACACGATGAAAATGAGAACTGTCATCTAGATACGACTTTAATAGATGAAAATAAAGTAAACACACTAGAAAATGATTCAAATCAAACAAGTAAATAGTGATATCTAATATTATATATTTACTTACCTAACTAAACAGATTATAATTTTGTAAACATAATTTATTTTTCAAATTTTCAGAACTTAATACCACAGGACTAAATAATGGAAAAATCATCATTAAAGATTTAAAAGAGAGTCGTTTATATCATGAATTAGTTAATGAAGTCCAAGAAAAAGAACGACTAAAAACAGAAAAATGTAAAAGTAGTGATCAAAGTAATTCATCACATTTAGAAATAAAAAAAAAAAAAGGTGATTATTATTAACTAAATTAAATTATGGCATATATATTATATAAAAGTGTTTAACTTATACAACCTAAAAAAAATACCTAATATTTATAGAAAAGCATAAATCAAAAAAAAAAAAAAGATCACGGAGTAGAAATAGATCACGTACTCCAAAACGACTTAAGAAGTATAGTCGGTCTCGTTCAAATAGTAGCAAAGATAGGTAAGTGTTCTTTTTGAGAAAATATTCCACAGAATATGGTTTTGAATTTTGATAAACCCAATTCTCAATCAATTTTCTCTTTGTACATTTAATTGTATATTATGCATATTAAAGATATATCTATATGAATTGATATTTAAATGTTTGTGTTCAACATTGGTTTAGGTATTCAAGACATAAAGATTTCAAAAGTCGTCAAACTAATTCAAAGAACCAAAGTGACTCAAACACTAAGTGTAAATACAATGATAGTGATATTAAATTAAAAGAAAAAAGCAACCATCATAAAAGATCTATAACACCAGATAAAAACCTAAAATTAATTAGACGTTCAAGATCGAGGGATAGTAAAAAGCCAAAGAGATCAGAAGATTATAGCAGAACAAGAAAAAATTCAAGATCAAGAGAAACGTCTAGGTCTAGACATAGATCTCCTTCATGGTAAGTAAATTAACTTTTAATTCTTATTTACTTTTTAAAATAATTTCAAGGTTTCTTTTTCAGTGAAAAAATTGATAAAAAAAAACTATTTAAAATTGCTCGTAAAAATGCCTTGTCTCTAGTGCAACAAGGTGTATTACCGGTGGGAAGTGTAAAAAAAGATAATTTAGCCAATGTTCCCACTAAAACTGTAGATGAACTAACAGGTAATGCAAATTTAAAGTATTTTCTTATACAAATTAAAAATGCAAGACTAAGATTAACACATAAAATAATTCTGTCTTGTTATTTCTACAAATACAATAATTTATTTTCATTCATACATAAATGTTTGATTAGAACTAAAAATTATTATAAATACTAACTTAGTTAGGCTGTGTTAGCTTAGTAAAATTATAATTTTCTTTAAATTATTAATATTTATGAGTACAATTTTAAATTACATAATATGAAATTAACATAACAATATTATATATGTCATCATACAGTTTGTTTGTTTAAGATTTTTGTCGTAAACTTTCAAAAAAGGATAAGGATCATGATGACGATTCTTCTTATTCTTCCGATGATGACGAGTTCAAACAACCTTTCCACCATCCATTTTTGGTCAAGGAAAGACCTAATATAGTCATGAATATTAGAGTAAATAAATCTGAATTATAAGCGTTTTCATTAGAATTCCATCAGATCTATTAACATATAATTACAACGCATATTTTTAGAACGCAACTCAACTACCTATTAAATCCTTTCAAGAAAAAACTATTGGACAAGATATATTGAGACAACAGTTTCCTGTATCCAGTGGCCAAACTCATAGTTTAGCTCTTACCGAATGGGTGCCCATAGGTCCTGAGGAATCTGCAAAATTAAATAAAATACTTAAACCTGATGAAGGAAACAAACTTCCTAATAAATCACATCATAGCCATCAGGCTCCAAAAGTTGCTGCTGTAAGATAACTTATACCTATTATAATTTTATGACATAATTTATAAAAGCTTTCATTCAGGTGGAACCTGTTATTCAGCCTGTTTCAAGTCCAAACAATGCTATAGTAACTATGGATTATCAGTATGTGTCACCTCCTGTTGAAACTCCAGCATTCACACCTTATGTAAATGAGAATATTAAGATTATTTGCCCAAGTGGCTGAGTAATCATTTAACTAAAGTTATTAATTTATGTTTGATTTTCTAGACACATAGCAGTTATTCATTGTTGTCTTTTGAAACTGGACAGTTCACTGGTCATACTGGTGCTAAAGTACTAACCCCTGCAGAACTATCTGCTGGATTTCAAACCTGGGTAAAAAAGGTAAAATGTATAGGAACTTTATACTCTTATCTTTATTTTTTTAATGTTTAGTGGGTATAACACATTTTTGCACTATAAATTATTTTCTTCAAATTCGATGATGACAATTTTCATTGGGCTTTCAACCACTTGGAAATACTACCTTAACTCTTAAGGTAGTATAAAAGATAAAACTAGAATTATTATTGAAAAAAATCAAGAAACATTTGTGTTTAGCTTAAAAAATTACATTACATTTTGATAATTTATTAGATACAGTATGTTTATTGTTTATGTTGGTTATTGAGTACCTACTCCATTCAGACATAACACATTTAATGACATATTGACATGTTTAATTATTTAATTTGTAAGAAATAGTCTTGATGTAATATTTCAATTATACGATTGAAGTATTCTAAATGAAAGTTTTACACATTTTATATCAAGACATTTTCTTTTGAACCGTGTTTATTTAGCAATTGCTACATTGCTAAATAAACATGCATATTAAGTGAATGAAAGCCAAATGGAAATCTGTTACAGGCAGTATTACTTGTGTTTAACATATTTAAGCGCTATATCAACAACACCACAATCGAACGACGGTTCGTCTGCTGAACATTCATGGGATATCTGATGCAGCCCCTTGGTAATTTTAATAGATACTTGAATGTATGCACTTTGACAGTGTGTACATTTACAGTATTTAGTTAAATTTTATTTTAAATGGAAAAAAACATTTGAAAATACTTAACATGTATTTTTGTAAGTATTAAAATTAATAAATGAAAATACATCGTTATATGGATTTCAATGATCATCCAGTTCAACACAGATATTTTTTACCGAAAACCACACGGCTGTAAAATAATTATCACTTATACAATATACACTATACAAATTTTTTATGGTTGATAATTTCAAATTACATAACTTAATTGTTTAATGTAGTTAATTTTGAATTGTAGGACCAGTTAAAAAATACTGCTCCTGTAAACAGTGGCATTGGGATTCATTTGTTACAAAAAATGGGGTGGAAACCAGGGGAAGGCCTTGGAAAGAATCAATCAGGATCTTTAGAACCACTTTTACTGGATGTCAAAATGGATAAAAGAGGTAAACAATAAAATTATATTCTCAATATTGGTATTGTCTATTAAGTACGCTTTATCTATTTATACTAATAGGACTGGTGGCTGAAGAAGAACTCCAAGGAAGTCGAATCAAGAGATTTTCAAAAAAAACAACACTACCAGTGTTGTCATTGGAAGGTAAATTGTCCCAACATAATACAACATATTTAGAAACAAACAGCTTTATTTAAGAGGATGCTACCTATACATTTGTTGTCTCCATCTTACACACACGACATAGCAAATTGTCGTTCACTAGTTTCAATAGTGTGCTGTTAGTTTTGATACTAGGGTGAATTGACCTATTATAAAACTTTTAGGTAAGGACATTATCTGTGCTCAAGCTTTGCCGATTTTTCAAAATTTTCATTTTCAAGCCAGATATGTTAGGCATGTGAAATATCAAAAAATATAAATGCTGATAATCTCGCTTGAAAATTAAAATATCGAATAAAAGCCAACGCTTAAGCACAAATAATGTTACCATCTAAAAAATTAATAATAGGTCAAATCACTCTAGCGTATTAAAACTAACAGCACTCTATTGAAACTATAAAAAAAAAATAGTGAACGTAAATTTGGTATATCGTACGTGTGTAAGACGGAGACAACTAATGCATACAGTTGCGTATAAAGAAATAACTTTTGGGGTGGGCTATATTAGACAGAAATTAGCAAGTGATCTATTACTTAGAAGTTACCGTCTACTATATATTTAACAGTTTCTATAAATATATTCGTATTTGTTATTTTTCAACAGGTTATGAAATATTATAACTTATAATAGTACCTAATAAAATATATTGTTGTTCTATTTAAAAATACTGTAATTTGGGGGGGGGCTGCAGCCCACTGTGCCCACCTCCTATATACGCCACTGAATAAGGTAGCATCCTCTTCATACATATAATTTATTATTGTAGGAAAACATCCAGTTTCATTATTGAATGAATTTTGTGCAAAACGTAAATGGGACATACCTAAGTTTAATACCTTAGACGAATCTGGTCCTAGTCATAGAAAAACATTTATTATGACTGTAAGTATTCAAAATGTACAAGAAAATATTTTACCAATTATATTTTTTTTATGTAGGTAGTTGTCAATGGAGTACAATACTGTTCATCAAGGTGTCAAACAAAAAAATTGGCAAAAATGGAAGCTGCTAAAGAGTGTTTAAAAGAAATTGGATTACTAAATACAACAAATAAATGATTTTGTCAAAATAAATAAATACTGGTTTTATTTGTATCATCACCCCTATAAGATCTATTTTGAAAATATCATTAAACACGAATTATGCCTAAATCCAATTTTTGACTTACTCTAACTTGGTCAGTTTTGAAAATAGAAAAAAACTTTTTATACACAATAAATGTTTAAAAAAAAAATACTCTACCCGAATCTGCAGAAAAAATCTGGGGTTGCCATTTGAAAAAAAGTAAGTTGTATTGCGCATACGCGTACCGAGTGAGCTAAAAATTTTAAACTGATCTGAAAATATGTATTTAAGTGCTCCCTATCACCTCCCGAAAACCCCATTTCAATACAAAGTCACCCATCTGAGATATTCAGTGGTACCTCTTAGCTTGATCACACTGTATAATAGAACCACAGAATAGATTTAATCTAATAGATTTTGAGATAGAACTTTCAAATGTATTATATTTCTATAATATGCCTATATGCCATTGTATTTCATACATAATATATTTATAAATATAATTGGCATTTAAATTTTTAATTACTGCAGATATAATATCTAACATACAGTGGTCAAACAAACAATTATTTCAATATAATTTGTTATTCTAAGAGGGAAAAACTAAAAATGTATCACAATATATTTCTAAAATAATTACTTTTATTTATGACTTTAGATTTTAAGAGACACATGTAAACTTATTAAAATCATTTTTCAAATACAAATTATCATTATGTATACAATATTTAGTATTTACTACAAGCAAATAGTATTAAAGGAGAAAGGTATTTGGTTTTCAATCAAGACTTGTCATGAAGTATAATAAAAAAAATTTGTTTTCTAAGAATATATTGTAAAAACCAATTCTGTAAGCTATATATTACGTAATATAATGAAATATTAATATTTAAGTACTAAATAATGATTAAATAAATTAACTTATCAATAAATAACCGAAACAATAAATAGGTAATTCTTAAAACTGTTTTTAAATATAACACTAATAAAATATGTAATTTAGGATTTAAACCATTTTTAAATGGGACTTCATATACTGGTTGTAGATTTTTGTAAACTGACGTTTTGTATAAGGCGGGGAAATATTGTTTCTAATGTAATCTTCAGAATATGTTTTATACATATATGCCACACAAATACTAGTTTCAAACATTTGTTTCCTTAAGTCTCCAGGAAAATTGGGAATGCACAAAACCTTAGGAATACTTTTTATGTACATCAACACTTTCTCATGTTCTTCGGAAGACACATTTTCTAGACTAACTTCGTTATCACTCTCAGGTTCGTATAAATTGTAGTCCTTGTCCAACAATTTTAAAGATTCTTTCATGAAATCTGTGATAGTTATCTCCTCGCTAATTACTTTTGCTTGGTTTGGTTGATTGGCTTTCAATACAGTATCCCTATTAGAATACCAACTGTAACTGGTAGGTTTCAAAACGGCATCGAGACGATGTTCAGAAATACCCAATGTATTCATGAAAAACATTCGGCACACCTTTACAGACTCCTCATTCATAATTAAGTGGAATGTCAGACACCTCTCGAAATCACTTTCTACATTTTCAACCATAATCAATTCCACTAATTCAGTGATTTTACAGTTCTGTTCAATCACATTTGGCAACGCATGGAATTGATTGAAAATTTGTCTTCGTTGGGGACCAGGTACAGAATAATAACATTTTAGCTGACAATTAGGGTCGCAATAAGGTGGAAGCATTTCACCATAACATTCTGTTAAGTTTTGATCATACATAATGGATTTTGGAGTTTCTACTGCAAAAACAGACATTAAAAATGTATTAAATATAAAATATTTAAAAAATAAATGCACTGGTAAGAAAAAAATTACATTCATTATTATGAGAAAATGATTATACCTTCAACAATTTTGTGCTTTTTGGACTCTTCAATTTCATGCTTTTTGGATTCTTCAATGTTAAGATTTTTAGATTCTTCAATTATATTTTTAGAATTTATTTCATTTATTTCAAAACCTATTTCAGTTGTATTACATTCATCTACTAAAAATAAATAAATAATTAAAGCAAATTTGTGATTGTTACAAGCAAGTTACCTTTTAAGTTAATGTTTGAATCATATAAAGGTTGTACTCCAATCATATTTTCATCATTTAGCATACCCAAATAAACATATTCCAAATCTAAGTCATTATTATTTGAAATTTTATTCATTGCTTCTTTATCTGAAATAATCAAAATACTTGAATTAACTACATTATTACTTTTTACTTTTAATTTTATTTATAATAAAACTATTTTATAGGGTTACCAGTCAAAAACTCCAAATATATAAACTATTCATAAATTCACATAATTGACTATACAAGGTATACCTAAGCCAGGTTTAAGATTTGTAAATTGACTTTTTATACTTGAATAGGTAATAGAAATAATAATCAAAGAAAATTAAATATATATTTTAATAATTTTAAATTGAATAGTTTTTGATTTTGGTATGTTTGTCAGACCAAAAAAATGTGCTAAGAAAAAAGTAAGATTAAGCAGACAAAAAAAAAATGAGTGGAATTATTGTACAATTTTTTGTTTTTAAAATATATCACTAATATTAATTTTAAAAAACCTATTTGAATAAGTTAGTTAATAATTACCATCAAACAATAAATTTGTCTTTATTGATTCTTCAGACATATTTTTCAATTCACTTTTATTTGTTTCGAATTCCAATACAGCTGTATTATGTTCGTCTGTTAACAATCAACAAAAATAATATAATATAAAACAAATTCAATTATAAAAAGCACTTAATTGTAATTCTATGGCATGAAACCCCATAAACATTAAACATTATTTATTAGTATTGGAATTAAGCACATGCCATTGTAGCATAAAAATCATCTTGCAGTAGATTCCTAGTGAAACCTATATAACTCGAATCGGGCAGAGACAAACTGAGTTTTACTAATGGATAAATATTATTTGGATAAGCCTGGTAAAAAATCATAAAGATACAGCTGAAAAAATTGAGCCGATAATTGCGGAAATTAATGATGCTATATTAACGTAAGTACCTACATACTAAGTTACTAAGTTCTATTGTAGGTATTATATTAATTATTATCAGTGTTGGGTAAATTACGTTACTTGTTACAATATATATTTTTATTTAAATTACATTTTTATAATACATATATATATACATATATGTATATTAATATGATATAAACAGCTATAAATATATTATGTAGAGGTGATAATATAAATTAAATTTAGAGAAAATAACTTGAATTTATCTTTATAAAATAATCTATTCCTATGGTATTCTAGAAGTCATAAAAAAGTATACTTAATAAATACATTAGATAAATAATAATGGATATAATCAAACTTGACATGTGTGATAAATGTTGTATTCAGTACACAAAGTGAACGACTACTGACTAGATTGTGAAAAAAAATTCTTATGTTAAATTAGAGTGACCACTTCATGAAAAAGTGACCATTTTGTGAAATATTTTAAAATTTTACGAAGCGTAAAATATCCGTTTCCATTTCATGAAATGGTCATCTTTTCATGAAAAGTTTGATTTCAAGAAGTGGCTACGACATATACATATATATTTTATATATTAACTGATTTTCCTAAAAAATTGTAATTATATTTAGCATTTTACCTTTTAAACCATTGTTTGTATCACATGTAGGTTCAACTTCCATCAAACTTGCATTCATATTTACATCATTTAATATATCCAAATAGACATATTCTAAATCCATATCATTATTATTTATATTTCCATTTATGTCCTCTCTTTCTGAAATTTAACTTTTATATTTAAAGGACTTGCTTTAAAAAGTATTACATCAAATAGATTAATTTAAGAAAACAATTTTATACATAAAAATATTAGTCGATATATTTGAAGCAATAAAAGTAATAATTTTTTCCAACTTTTAGTGGTATATAAAATTTTAAAAATGTAGGGTATTAAATGATTTATTTAATACTATACAGTCCCTATTTCTGTCCTAAAAGTCCTGTACCACCCTTAGTATCTCCATGGAAAATCAATACATTTAAAAATTTTTTTTCTCTTACAGCAATAAATAAGGAATATCTAATTGAATGGCAAACGATTATTTTTTTTTTTAAATTCAAAAATCTTGACAGTACTTTTCAAGTTTTTTAAAAAATATATTAAAATTGAGTGAAAATCTACCAAGCTATAGCAAAAGAAGTTATTGATATAATAAGAATAGTTATATTATGAAAATATGAATCACATGACTCAATCAATTTCTATTTGACCATGGATTTTTTACTATGACAATCTACTTTGTATCTGTATGTACTGATAACTTTTTATAACTAACTTTTCTACTTTACCGGACAAACCTTTTTGTCATTTTTTAAGGTACTAAAAATGTTGGTTAAATAAGAACTTGGTAGTCGATCTTTGATTAAGTTATAGCTCCGACATTTTAACAAGTTTAAAAATATAACAAGTAGTTACTCTCTATACTTGTCTCCTGTCACTAAACTACATAAGTTAAAAAAAAATATGTCTTCTCAGTTCATTATCACATTGACATACTAAAATGTTACTCCCAAAATAATGAAAGTTGAGACAAGCTGAAAAATTATGGAATAAGAAGTTATCAGTCAGATTGTAAATAAACCATCCTACAATGTTATGTAAACAGATTAATGTCTCGATTTTTGGAAACAGGTAAAATTGTGTTTTTATCAAGTTATAATGTTGCAAACACATTTTAGGAAAGCCCTACTAATAGTTTGATATTTAAAGACTGTCATAGAATTTGGATTAAAATCTGACAATTTTAGAATTTTTGGAAAAAAAAATTTGAATCTTATGCCATTCAATTAGAATTTTCTTATTTATTACTGTAAATAAACTGCATTTAAGTATATTGATTTGCCACAAAAATACTAAGGATGATACGAGACACACTTTATTGTATGATTCAAATTTATTTTTAACAAATATAGCTACAACTTCATATTCCTTAATAATAATAAAATAAATAATATATGGGTATAATTTGATAATATTAAAATATTTATCAAATTTATGAATTTAAATAATAAAAATTAAAACTTTGTATTACCTTTTGCGATTTCTTTTTCAAATGATTCTAAATATTGTTTTGTTAAACTTAATTCAGTATTCTCTTTAGATTGAAATTCTTTAATGTCATTGACATCATTCAAAATATTATCAACATTTAATTTATTGCATTTTGTTGAGGAATTTAATAATTGTAGCGTTTGAGTAGTGTTTTCTTCAGATTGAAATTCTTTAATGCTATTAACATCATTCAAAATTTCCTCAACATTTGACTTATTGCATTTTGTTGAAGAATTTAGTGATTGTAGTATTTGAGTGTTCTTCTCTTTCGATTGAAATTCTTTAATATCATTGACATCATTCAAAATGTCCTCAAAATTTGTTTTATTGCATTTTGTTGAAGAATTTAATAATGGTTTTTCTGTTGAATAGTTTCATATATTATAATATCAATTCAGTATATTATATTTTTTTTTTAAATAGCATGTGCATACTCTTTAGAACTACATATGATTTTAATAGATCATTTTCTCCTTACCTTTAACACTGTTGTTTATTACTGTTGCATTTTCAAGGGTTGTTGTCTCAAGTATTTTGTCATATTTTTTTAGTTGTTGATCTATTTGATCTTCCAATGAATTTAACAAAATAGTTTTTCCATCTTTACTTTTTTTAGTTTTTTTTTCTTTGACTAACAAAGTATTTTTATCTATAATATTAAATTCTAGCGTATTAAAATCACATGATTTTACATGATCATTAACATGTGTTTTCGGCTGTCTATTATTGTAATCTTCGTGATTAAACAACTTCTAAAAAATATATGTAAATGAAACATACGTTTTAGACTAGGAACTGAAAATTCAATGTATACAAACTTTTGGCCTTATTGATGGGACTGCAAACTTATGAAGTTGAAAAACATTAGCAATCTTTGTAATGTAATAACTTTCAAAATGATCAGAGCATATTCGATTAGTTGGTAATGGCTTCCAATATGGTAATCCAATAATAGTTAACCATTTTTTAAGCAGAAACTTGTTTTCAAGTGGAAATCTAAAACCAAAATATCAGAGTATACAGATAACAAGATAATTTTTAGAATATATTGCATTTTATTACATTCAGTTTTATAAATTCAATATAGTAGAATCTACTCAGTCTTGAGTCTCAAAAAATTTGGAATATATTTTAATAAAAATATTTAAATATTAGTTATAATATATTATGGGTTGTTTGTTACTCCAGTGGCCAGTACCCTAACTCAGTAGCAAAACTAGGTGGATTATTGACTATTGTACGTTTGAATATCTAGATTCTGGATAGCCGGCTTGAGCAATATTGATTGATAATTAGGGCTCGGAAGTTGTTGCATTTGCATGATTTTTTTGAACCATTAGATTTATTGCTAAGTAAGCTAGAAATTCATTTCAAGACACTACGAAAAACATATCAAAAGTTTTTAGTGCATATTTTTGCATATTTAGTGATTTTTAGATTTTAGAGCATATTTCTTAATTTTACAATTTTTTAAAGCATATTTTATAATTTATGGATATTTAATATGAAAATTTGTAAATAAAAAAATAAATACATTTATATTCAGAGATCTTACTAGATATTCTTGAATCTTATTATTCAAATTTCCATTTGACATTAAAAACTATGTTTTTCCTCTATTGGTTAATATGATATTATATAAATATATATATAAATTACAACTACAGCTAGCTTTATCTAAAATAGAATATTATACAAATCTAAAATAGAAACAGCTGCTATCGAAATACGACGATTTTCTATAAATACTTTTATAGGAAAATAACTCAATGATTATTGACTATTGTTAATGGCATTTATAGATTTTAGGTATTTCAGGTATATAAATATAACTCGACAGAAGTGCATTTTTTTATTCAAGGAACATTTTTAATTTTTAAAGCGATTTTTTTATTATTTTTTTGTTTAAATTATGATTAGAAAATATAAATAATAATAAATTAATAACTTATATTGCTTTGCTTTTTTTTTTTATTTACAAATTTAAAAAAAATATTTGTACAAATGAAAATGTTGTGTAAAATAATTAAATATAAGTGCATATTTGTAGTTTTTTAAGCGCATAAGTGCATGCATATTGAGTACTTTATAAGTGCATTAAGTTCCGAGCCCTATTGATAATCAATCATATATACAATAAATTGGTTAAACTTTGAAAATTTAACACTTAAAATTGAAATATAATTGTGTTATTAGTCTATTGTTACATATACTATAATGTATTTTGTTTTGGTCACATAAGTATTTTTACTATTAATAGTGAACACACCCTCAACAATCCTAGTCGTGCCACTGACCGTAAAATATTTGTTGTTTATATTTTTTGTATATTTATATTTTTTTAATAATTCTTTACTTAAACTAAATATAGTTTAAAACAACTTACTTGAAAAATAATGTATTTTTTGCATTTTTTAATGATGTTTTCTTACAGCCTTGAATTACACATACATAAACTGATGTTAATTTCTTGGGTAACTCTGTTTTATAAATGCAATAATTAAAATTGAGTAATTTAGATTTATGAGTAATAAATTTGACATACTGCGAGCATCATCAGTAGTACGTTTTTTACGTTTCCTTGTAAACTTTGTATACTCATACGGTTTTAAATAAAGAGTTGGTACAATATAATTGTTTTTCAATACACTTTGTTTATACAGTCTTCCATTTTTTCTTTCCATATCGGAAGTAAAATCATTGGGCTTAAAATGTATTGAGCATATCTTTGACATAGGATTAAACATACCATTGTGTCCACATAATTTCCACCAAATTTCACAAAGACTTCTATTATCTCTGGGAAAGTTGATAAAAAATAATCTATTAAACTGGTTTCTTGCATTTGCATTACACAAAACAACGGCACATTTATCATACTGGTAGGTCTGAGAAAAAGAAAACATTATTATTTATCATCATAGGAGCACATAAAGGGGGGGGCTTAGAACCCCCAAGCTTCAAACCAGCACTCCCAATTTATTTCAGTATTTCACCAATCTTTTATAAAGCATTGTGATTTATTATTGATTCGGAATTTTGTTGACAAAACAATACTGTTCACGAATTTATGATTAAAACAGTATTGTGTGAATGCACGTTTCAGTGTTTCAATTTTTGTTAAAAAATTAAAGGAGAGCATACAACACACAAAATTTAAATGTTATACTATTGTAGCTATGGCTATATTAAATGATTTGGTGAAAATCTGATTTTTGTTAAGCGGCGCGTCATGGCCATTTAAATATAAAATAAAAATTCAAGTATATCTTTTTTAAGATTTTTAATTGATTTGGTTATAACTTGGTTTTGACTAATATATTTATTTAAACAGCGGTCTACGTTGAATAGAATAAATTCGGAATATTGTTAAGAAGACGCTACACCCGCATGTGTGGTCTCCGTTTTACAATTAATGTAAAAATAGTTTTGCGCGGGTAAGAACCACTCTAGCTATAGTTCAAGTTATGCGACCAAATGTTCCTACTAGAAAGAGGAGAACAATTACTGTGCAACATTGTTTTTATAAAAAAAAGTTATTTAAGTTTGAAAAACTCAAAACTAAAGTTTTTAATTTTTATACTCTAAGAACTATTTTTGTATTTGTGATTTCGAAATTTTAAAAACAATATTGCACAGTAATTGTTCTTATTTCTATAGTATGGTAATTTGGTTACTTAGCTTAGAGTACAGTCTGAGTAATGAGTGGTTCTTATACTCGTGCAAAACAGTTTTTCCTATGTTTTACATTTGAAAAACGGAGACACCACATGTGGGTGCGCACCTAGTGCCTTCTTAACAATCATAAAGACTATTTGATCCATTGTTATTTACATATTATTGTATACAAATTTATAACTGATGTAATTGAGTTTATTATGGTATTGGGATCTGTGTAACATAAATTATTCCAGCACCCCTTAAATGCACACCCAATGTGCGCCTATGTTTATTATGTATTTGCATACAAATTTATAATAATAATAAAATAACTATGGGTACAAACTTTTCCATGACTCGTTACATATGAAGACAGCGATACTACGTCAAGATCATTTTCTGAAGCCGACGACAGCGAATCTGAATCATCTTGGTCGTACGTTCTTAGGGGTCGGTTTTTATTCTAAATGAAACATAAATCATACGAACGCTGTATTACACACTTGCGGCGTAAAGAATTCGAATAAAAAAATGGTCTTACTCTTTCGAATGAAACGTTGTTGATCGGACGTTCATCACATGGTTCTTCGTCACTTAATTTCAGGTCTGTGGTATTCGGCGTGTCGAAGTCGATGTCCGAATAATTTACATCGCTCGTAGAAGAAACGTCGCTAGAATCGGTATCCGTCATGGCGACTGTTCTTAAACTATTCTTTAATAATATCCGTCAAAAACTCGAGCAAAGAAAACATACACCGCGCGCGTGTGCGTTTGCGCCACTGCTGTCTGCGTCTTTGGTCACCGAAATGGAAGCGGGAATGCCGGTATGGTAGATTGACGAACAAAATCCAATAACAACGATTAACGTCTGGCGGAAAAAATATTACTACCAAAATTATTATTTATCATACGTTTACATTAATATTGTATATAATAATATTATATATCAGACGGACGCTATTATTTGGTATCATCGGTCGTGATAAAAAGTTATAAATAGACATAAAATGTATAACATCGTTCAGTGGTATAACCCAGGACGTCCAGGTGCTAGGACAGGTGGGGCCTGGTTACCTGACAGCTTTATTATTCAATAATATATTATATTTATTATTTATGTAAGTATGAGTATCAACTATAAAGGCTTTCGGTTAAATTAGTATAATAATAGGATAAAAATAATAACAATATAATAGTATAATGGTTAAATAGGGTTGTGTATATATACATCGTTAGCCGTAGTAAGGGCATTGGCGGCATTGCATAATATTTGCATTTGTTAATCAATGGCAAAGGTATAATGGTGACCGGTCGGTATTGTTGCGCAAACCTTTTTTGACTGTAGACTGTAGAGAGAAACGTAGAGTGTAAACAATCAAATAGTGAATGGAATACCTATTTCAGTTGCACATTTGCACCACTATTCAATATTCTGATATTCGTATAATATTTTATTCACTAGGTGTCTAGGTTCCAGAGTTCTATAATTATTTTTAAGGGGATTCGATACCGTGATTTTCTGTTTTTGTCTAACACACGCTCGACATAGTATTTTAGACGTGTTTTTTGCCAAACATACCAATTGATCTAATGAAGCGATAAGAATTCTGAAAACAGATTTGAATTTGTCGTCAAGTCTACTTGAAATCGACTTTCCCACATTTTTGATATTATCCCCCAAATTTTTTAAAATGTCATATTCAAAAAGAGTAATTAAACATTCTGGTATTTCAATTATTGGAGAAGTTAAAATCAAAAAATCAAAAATATGGGAAAGTCGATTTCAAGAAGACTAGACGACAAATTCAAATCTGTTTTCAAAAATCTTATACCTAGCTTCAATAGATCAATTGGAATGTTTGGCAAAAAACACGTCTAAAATACGATGTCGCCCGTGTGTTAGACAAAAACAGAAAATCACGGTATCGAATCCCCTTAATGTAAATTGTACACTAGTATGGCAGTACATCAGCAACTCAGAAAATATTGTCTCATAACAAGATTTCATAATTTTTTAATTATTTTTCGTCTATAAATAATACATTTCCCAGGGGAAAAATGTCAATGTATACCATCACTAGATATAGGTACGTCAGCTTTTAATAGCATTCGTAGAAATGTAGAATTCTCATTCCATCTCCAGTTTTTATGTTAAAAGTCATATGTCCAGAATTATTAAGAAGTGGAAAATCATAAAATTAGTCATTGTAATTACTAATTTCGTTTGTATTATATTACAGTAAAACTTCCATACTACGAAGTCTTTGGGGCATAAAAAAATTCGTATTATAGAGGATTTCGTTAAATAGAATTAAATAAATTTTGGTTTGGTTCTCAAAAATATTTCGTTAAACGGAAAATTTTGTTAAATGGAAGTTTCTAGTTTCAACTGAAACGAAACGGGAAACAATAGAAAGACATGTTAATTCTGATCCGGGCGAAGTCGGATAATACAACTTACTATAAGTAATTACCTAATACATTTATCTACTACCTACCACTATAAAATCAAAGACTTAAAAGTTAAAACGGATGACTCTTATGGAAGTTCACAGTTTTTGATCGATTAATATATAATTAACACATTAAATGTAGGTAGGTACGTCAATAAATTCAGCAAGGTCTATAAAGTGTCATAGACTACTTTTTACTTTTTAACGCATTAATGTTGAATACCTATAGTTGAGTCACGAAAGATTATCATTTTTTATTTTATAAAATTGTTATTATCATAGGTAACTAAGGGGGAGGGGGAACTTTAGGGCTTAGGCACCCCTTAGAATTTCTATAGCCACCCAAAAACTAAATGATTTCACTACTATAATTTAAAAGCAACATAAGAGTATGAAGTACAGACCTGAGCCCCCCCCCCCCAAAATTTCAAACACTATTTACATTTTACACCTATAATTATTATGATAAGATATAATTTTAGATCTGTATTTTATTTGCAGTTTAAGAAGGAGCAGCCAGTCATAACTCATAACCTAACCTATATATCTATATATATATTTTATATAATTTACAATTTGATATACAAATATTTATAATATATTAAAAACAGCCAATAGGTTCAATTTATTTTAATTTTAAATAAATGTCAATTAATTAACGAAATAGGTATAAATAAAACTGATATTTTAAAAGATTAACTTAAATACTTAAAAGTTACTTCTTCTATTTCACATGTATATTTTACAATAGATATTCTTTGATTAAACTGTAGAACTGTGATTGCTTTCATTAATGTGTTGTGCACTTCTGCTGATCCAAGTTCTGCGTTAGGTACCTTACCTATTGCCATTTCTACAACTGCACAACCTAAGGACCATATATCAGCCTGCAAAAAATCAAAAAATATTTTTTATAATTCTATTTTTAAACCTATACTTATTTTCTTCATACTGGTGTGCCATAACCGTTTGATTCATTGTTTATCACTTCAGGAGCCATATACTCAACAACACTTCTAGCAGTGGGACACAATTCAGAGAGACGTTTAGATATTCCAAAATCGGATATTTTTGCTACACCAGAAAAAGGAATTAATCAGGATATTATCCCCTTTGATATTGCGGTGTATAATCTTTTGATCATGTAAATAAATCAATCCTTCAAGAATTTGTTTAGTATAAAATGAAATAACAAACTCGTTTTTTTTTAATGGGCCCCATTTTAATTGTAATAGTGAGAAAAGACTTTCTATAAAAGACCATTTGTTATTAATGTTGTCTGTTGTCAATGTCTCAATATAAAATAAAAATTAACTACCTGGTACTTGCTCCATAAATATTTTTAAATAACCATCTACAGATATTGATCCTAAATATCGAACAATGTTTCGATGACACAGTTGAGAATGAAGTTGTACTTCTTAGTGCACTGGCCCAGCATAATTTGAAACAAATAATAGATTACCTAATATAAAAAAATGAAAATAAATATTATATTCAAATTAATAAATACACATAATTAGCTTCTGTTATTTCCTTAACTGTGATTTACACTTTTGTATTGCAATCAAAAGCTACATAAACTCTCCCATATGTTCCATGACCAAGAATTTTTTTTTGTCATAAGCATAACCATCAAACATTAACCTAACCTAACCATACATTTCCCAAATACTTTAACTAGAAAAAGAGACATTTAAAAAAGACAAAAATTACCCATACACAATTATGTAATCTGTACTATAGTAAGATATTGCTTCCCCAAACTCTGCATATGCTGTAACAAACTGAGAAACGTAAAATTCAACATTTGAAAACAAAAATATCCACCTGATGTATTGATGTAAAATAATGTATAGATGACAACAATATTACCTAAATTATATTAAGTAATAATTATAATTACACGCAAATTATTGGGGGGGGGGGGGGGATCCGGGTGGGTTTCTCTAGTACAAGTCACAACAACCGCAGTGTTCTTTACTCCTTCCAGTGATCGACTGCCGGTATAGAAGACGGACTGGCTGGCTAGCTAAGACTATCGTTGATGTAGAACTGTGTAAAGTAGTTTGTATTATAATTTTATTAACAGTGTAGTTCTAGTCAATAATGCCATATCAATTATCGTTTGGCCAATGATCACCCTACTTTATTTAGTCTATAATTATATTATCTTTAATATTACGTGTTTTGTAAATTATTAAAATTACTGTTACCTAACAATTAGTTTATTAAATTTTGTAAAATTTATAATAAAGAATTAATAATAAATAAATATTGACAGTACTGTACTCAATAGTATTAAAGATCAAACTATAGACCTTGGTAGCAGTAAGAACTATTTATGAAACACTAATCAAACAATAACACCATAACAATAAATATATATTTCACATTGGTAATAACTAATTTCAATCATTTTAGGTATCAAGTTAGGTGATGTCACTATTTTTCAAAAATTGCCTTTTTATAAAAATATGTTCTTTGGCTAAAGACAAATTGTTTAATTAAAGAGGTAAAAATCATATGATAGTCTGTATAATATTGCAATTCAAACAGTTAGTTTATGTATAAATAGTGATGCAAGTACCATGGTACAATCTTTTTAATAGAAGGTTTTTTTTTTTTTGACTAAACAGCTATCATAATTTATAAATAATCTATCATTTAAAATTAATATGCTAGAAAAAAAATGTCTTAAAATTCATAATAACAATAAATAACAACATTCATTAATAATTTATTATTATAATCTTTATAATTGTATACCTACATATTTTGTTATTGATTCAGAAGTACATAAAGTACTTACTTATGGTAATGATTATAAAAATATGTTTCTAAAGTTATATCAGCTAAACAATTATATTTTTTGTTTGAAAAATAATACATATTATATTATTAAAAACCGAAATCCGAATCAATTTTCAGTTATGTCTATTAACATTTTAGTTTTTGTGTTAAGTGTAATATAACAAATTATAAAAATATTGTATTGTAATTACATGTGTTGTTTCCATCTTATAAATGCACAACATTGCAAATTTTACTTTCAGAATAATCTATTTAATTATGTTATTTTCAATATTAGAGTTAATTGACGTTCTAAAGGCAAGACTTATAATATCATTGATTATAAATACTATAATACTAGTATTTATAATCAATGTTTGTATCTATGGCACCGTTTAAGTTTTATTAATATTTTATTTTAAAGCAAGTTATGAGCATTTTAATAGCTTCAAAATTAAAATATCCAAAAAGCCTCAGTGTGGCCATGAAAAATATTTTTACCATAATGTTCGATAATTAATCAATTCACTATAATTTTAAAAATTCCAAAGTAAAATTGATTATTCTAAAGATGACATTTTTATATTTTGCTTTAGTATGACAGAGACAACACATATGAGTTATAATGTCCTCTTAATTAAATATATGAATAATAATTATACAATACATATACATTAAAATTTTTTTTAACTATCCAATGTTTATTATGTATACACAATGATTAATATTCATTAATAAATAGACAATAAGAGATCTATTAAATACTAAAAAGTAAATAAGAAGTATAAAAATAATAATAATAATAAAAAAAAAATAGGATTATATAGATGATAATATATAGTAGGCTACATTCATAATTTTAATTATGATAATTTCTGAAAGCATCAACATAATTTTATAAGTTCATACCAAACAATAAAACAAGATGCAAATTTAAACCATTTTTAAAAATGTCTTCATGTACTGGTTGTAAATTTTTTTAAACTGACGTTTTGTAAATGGTGGGGGAGTCTTGTTCCTAATAAAATTTTCAGAATATGCTTTGTACATATATTCCATACAAATACTGGTTTCAAAGCAATGTTTTTTTAATGTTCCAGGAATTTGATATGAACTCAAAACCCTAGGAATACCTTTCATGTATAGGAATACGTTTTGATATTCTTTAAAAGGCACATTTTCTAGACTAACTTCTGCGTCATTCTCAGGCTCATATAAATTGTAATCCTTGTTCAAGGGTATTAAAGATTCTTTCATAAAATCTGTCATGACAACCGGCTCACTAATAATATTTAATTGTCTTGGTTGATTAGCTTTCAACGCAATGTCTCTGTCAGAATACCAACTGTAATTTATTGGTTTCAGAATGGCATCAAGACGGTTATCAGAAATACCTAATGTGTTCATAAAAAAAGTTCGGCAGACTTTTACAGACGCCTTATTCCAAATAAAATGGTATGTCGGACAGCTTTCAAAAGTCCTATCTTTTTTTTTAGAGATACGTAATTGTACTAATTGAGTTATTTTACAGTTCTGTTCAGTCGCATTCAACATCTGAAATTCTTTATAAATTTGTCTTCGGTCGGGGCCAGGTATAGAATAATAACATATTAATTGACAGTCCTGGTCGCAAGAAGGTGAAAGCATTTCACCATAGCATTCTGTTAAGTCTTGATTATATATTATTGATTCTGGAATTCCTAGAAAAATAATAAACATTAAAAATGTATCCATATGAATACATTTTTTTGTTTAGCATAATAAAAACTATATCACAAAAAGCATTATAATAAGGCTAGGCAAGTTAATTTTTTACAAGTTAACATGCACCAATAACAAAAAGTTAAAAGTTAAAAGTTATTTAATTTATAGTTAACTCAGTTAAGTTAAAAGTTAATACACACTTTTTGTTAACTTTTTTTTTTAAGTTAAAAATGTTAATTTGTTTATGTAACGCTAGCCAGCCTACTTAATTTTTTTCCAATCCGAAACTAAATTATAGACTAGTGTTTATGCTTCATAAAGTACCTATTTCCATATAAGTTAGATTCGAATGATATACATTTTTAATTTTAAACTTATGTTATGTTTATCTGTTGTATCCAAACATGTTGGATTGATCAATGTGTCCAAAACGTTCACTACCCATACATTTAAAACAAACTGAACTTAAAACATTTGTTATTTTTATAATTATAAGATATTACATTTTTAAGTAATACAGCACCATTTTTTAAAAAGGTGTTAAGTAGACACACACTGATGTATAGTATGTGTTGAGTGTATCTCTTCACTGACTAATAGGCACTGTTATGTATAAGTGTTGACAATTAATTCAATAAATCATTGCGAACGAAAAACAATTCCAAGTGAAGACTGTAATCGTGAGTATATTGTAATATTTATTATAAATTAAATGTATTAAGTACCTATCACAGATAGTATTTTTGAGTTACAGCAAAATTACAAAAAATGTTATTATCTTTTAAAATATCTAATTTTATCCAAATTAGAACTTAAAAAGTCTAAAAAATAACTGGTTTTTAGATTTTTTGGTAATAGTATCAGCATAAACTATAAACTAGAACTATTGGCTAAAAAGCTTGTATTAAATAGTCAATCCTTAGCTTTAAGAATTGAACATTCTTAACATTTTTAACTACAAAATGATATGAAAATGTTCATGGTTTTGTTGAATTTTGTTAAAATTCAAGCTTCAATTGCTTATATAAAAATAATAAAGCATAATATATATCTAGAATATGTTTAAATGGCTGTATAACTGATGAGGAATGTTGTATTAAATTTAGTAAAACCTAGCAAAAATTTACTGACATTTAAACCAAAAAAAAGGTGCTCTGCTGTACTGTAGGTTACAAGTTGGTCACTGTATAATGGATGGTATTAATTTTGAATTCAATGATATAATATCATTGTATAACGATTCTGAGCGGACACAGTATGTCAATCTAGATATAAGACATAATATTACATACTTATCTATGCTATTAAAAAAAAAAATGACCTTGAAGAGGTACCTATAATAAATTAACTGACTAAATCCCTAGACTTTGACTAAGGATTTTTATTATTTTTCATCTGCCTTTGAAACAATATACTAGGAGCCATCTATTAAATTTTCAAGCTTTTTTACCAACAAATTAAATTTTATTGATTTTTTAATAAAAAAACTAAAAAAAAAATGGAAAATGAAAATGTTCCTTAACAGTTCAAACAAATCATATTATTTCAAAAATTTTATCGTGTATAGAAAATACAAAAATAAACAACCAGTGAAAATTTCATGTATACATTCATTTGTTTTAGAATTACACCAAAATCCAAAATCAATTCTGTGGAAAACCGATTTTGCGTAAAAATTCCCATTTTTCCTTAATTTTTCAAGGCGCTTTTGAAAAATACTTGGAAATTTATACTTTAGACCCCCCAAGGCCAAAGTACCAACTAGATTCACTTTCCTATCAGAAAAGATACCGTTGAAGAAAATTCAAGCACTTTTACTGTCCTAAAAGGTGATGACAGACACAAAAATAAAAAAATAAAAAAAAACACACATCATTGTAAAATCAATACATTCATCGTTAGACTCAAAATCTAAGAACTAAAAAGCGACAACAATTTTGTAAGTTCTATCATTACTTTTGAACCCCTAGTTTACCAAATGTTTCTGACTTGCTACCAGAACTTCCCCCCTCAAAAAAAAGTAGAAATTCAAAGTATTATTACTGCATCAAATGGTGATGACAGAAATAAACAAAAATTATTTTCAAATATTTTGAAAAGTTACTGATAAGTATTTACTTTTGACCCCTTAAGATATCAACTAAATCCAATTTTCCACAGGGATCAAAAATAGTAATTGTACTTAAGAGGACGTCATACTAGCATTTGTTGTTTCTGTCTTACACAACACACATACATCATACAAAAGTTTTGTTCACCAGTTTCAACAGTGTACTGTTATACTCTTTTTCAGAATAAGAAGGAACCAGGCAGCCATGGACAAAACCGGTTTTGTTACTTAAATCTGGTGCGTTCTTATTCTGAAAAGAGTATAGTTTTGATATTATAGTGTATTGATTTATTAAAAAATTTAAAGGCAAGATCATTATCTAGGGCCTCCTTAGGCTTTTATTGATATCATTATTTTTAAGAAAGTAATGATATTTTTGAAACTACATTTTAAAATGATCGTAACTTAACAACAATAATATCAATAAAAGCCTACTTGGGCCCCTAGATAATAATCTTACCTTAAATTTTATAATAAATCTAAGTATTTATTTAAAATAACCCAAAAATATGAAATAAACTGAATATTTATATTGTGAACTTTATTGAATGCATTTTGTTATATTCATACGATAGAGCTGTTATTTTTGTTTCCGATACCGTAAGTCGGTATTACGCCACTCAGAAGACAACAATGGAACAAACCGGTTATTATTTGGTGTTTGTATATCAAATATTTATTATTTTATTTGGTGGGAGGGGGGGGGGGCGTAGTTACCTAGCGAATGTTAAAAATCCAGGCCTATAGGTTTAAAAGTACACTATTCTTACCATCAGTATGATTTTTTTCTAATAGTTGCAGAATTTTTGTTTTGGAATTCTTTGAAATACTTTTTTTTTCAAATGACAACACATTTTTAGCATCATCACCATCCAACATGTCTAAGTATATATAATCACAGTCATTTCCATTATTTCTTGATTTTGGTATCATATTTTTTTCTATTTCAGTAAAAATAATTTATGAATAATTTATTGTCTTAATTTTGAAAAAAAAACAATAAATATAGAAACATAAGAAAATATTTACTACTTTAAAAATGGAAATTACTTTTGATAAGTAATTTCTATAGAATAACACGTTACAATTTTGAATTATTAAGTACCTACCTATTGCGAATTGAAAAAAAAATCTTTTATAATGCGGGTATTATATTATGTTTACCATTCTAATATTTATATACAATATTATACATTTAATTTTAACTCTCCACATTTCAGGTATAATGGTTTTGACATTTGACATGTCGTATTGCACTGTGAATTACGAGAACAGTTAATTAAATTTATTATTTAATTTGATTCTTCTAAATAGGTAGGTAGTACTAGGTACCTTCGCAAAACGTTTCCTATGAATTAGATGCGTGGACTATCAAGTTTTATACGCTCCTATTAACTATACAGATTTTATAAAGAATTAATTAGTGTTGTACAAAAACTGTTCACTTTGCAAATACTTATTAGTTATTACTTATTACTATATTTAGAATTTACATTAGAATTTAACATTTTCTGAAAATTGAATAAAATCAAAATATTTACATTTTACCGTTATAAATCATTAAAGCCATATTTTGGCATTTATAAACCGTTTATTTCATAATTTAATAAGTTCTTATGGCGTTCTAAATGTATTATGATTTTATTTTCACACACCTAAGGTTTATGTTGTGAGTTTGTGACATAAATACATAATATACTTAACTATACCTATAATGATGTATCACCACTGATAAGTAGATACAATTAATTAGTACTTTTTTTTAATATTCTTCACTATCATAATAGTAATTATTATTGTTATGTAATTATGTATTAACTGTATTAATATATTTTTCAAATTATATCTTTTAAAAATAGGTAATGTATTTTTAGTTACATTATTGCCTACAGAATGAGAACTGCCAAGACATTTTTTGTAATGGGAAAGTAATGAATTACTTTTCTATTTCAAAAGTATAGTAATTTCATTGCAATTTTATTTGAGTAATGAGTAAAGTAACTTAATAACGTTTATCTCTAAGTTATAAGTAAAGTAACTAAGCCAACACAGGAATTGTGTATACCATGATAAATTAGATAGGTATCATTACAGTATTTTGATACGCATCTTCCGCTCTTTACTTTGCCTTTATCGTAGTTCTCCACTTCTTATTGCCTGTACATACATATGTAACAGAACAAAATCAACCAATGAAAAGTGGAGAACAACAATATAGGCAAGAGGTGAAGGAGATGCGTATCTACTGTGCAAAACTAGTGATTTGTCTATCTAATTTGTCATGGTGTATACTATATATTAATAATTTCTCGGAATTGAATAATATGATTATTGATATGCATAATTTTAAATTTTAATTACCTTTATTGCCATTTATATTAATTGTTGAACTAGATTGGACGGCGCATGTATTAAATATTTGTTGGTGATTTTTTGGTTCTTGGTCAATTACATCATTTTCCAACGAATTTAACAATAAACTTTCATTCATTTTTCCCTTTGTGATATCTTTAACTATCAAAGTGTTATTTTCTAATTGCCTGCATTCTAAATTATTAAAAATATTATCAATATATCTGCTGTTAACTTTGGATGCATGTTTTCTATCATAATTGTCTTCAGCACTTATTACAAATGAATTCTACAACATAAAAAAAATTGTGATAATTAAATAAACTATGAAATTGTTGTTACCTTATAATTGTATACATACTTGTGGCTTAACTAACGGAATAGCATTATTATTAAGAACATAAATATTATTAGGCATTAAAACATCATCATTTTCAAAATGGTCAGAGCAAATTCGATCTGTATCGGTTGGCTGCCAATTAGGTAATCCAATACTATCTACCCATTTTTCAAGCATATTTTTGTTCTCCAATGGAAATCTAAGTGTAATATCAAAATATAAAATTAACAATATAATTATTTGATTAGATAAAACCCAACCAAAAATAAGGCAGAAAAAAATCCATTAAGCAAATTTGGACCTTTGCAATAAAACGAGTTATTTATATCAATTTTTTCGTGGGTATGAATAGTCACATAAAAATAATGGACTCTTTATAGTTTATATAATTTATGCCAAAAGGGATATACAAAAATTAAGTTTAGAGACATAATAATATTGTATTTTATTTAATGTTACAATGTACAGAGTGTAACCGGAAGATCTGATAAATGAAATTATCTTTTGTTCTAATCAATATTAATTTTTTTAATTTTTATTTTTTAATGTTGAAAATTAAAAAAATTAAAACTAATGTAATTTTTTTTAGAAAAATGTTTATTGTTTAAATATTTATTTAAGTCATGTTGTATATTTTTTACAAATCTCATAATTTTGGTTAAATTAAGTTCATCCAGTCGTAAAAAAAAAATTTTAAAGTATTAACTTTTTAAAAATATTTTATGAGAATTTTTTAATAGGGACTTGTTAAAATCTTATTTATTTTTAAAAGAGTATTAACTGTTTAAACCAATGAGTAACTTTTAAATAATTTGAAATTTCAAAAAATCATAAAAAAATAAGCCACTTGACTTACATAAATGTTTTCAAGTATCAAGTTTTTGAAAAACTAGATTGACAAATGCACTATTTTGAATTTTTCAAAAATTTTAAATCAGATTTATTATTTTTGTTATTAAAAAGTGTATAGAAATCTGAAATATAATAGAATAAACTTTAATAAAATATACATATAAATCAAAATGAAAAATATTCATTAGAACGAAATATATTTTATTTGTCACTTCTTCCTGTTGCACCTTGTATAATTTGTCTAACAATGAAAAATTAATAATGAATAAATGATGATAAACCTATGGTTAAATTTGTACCAATATGTACAATGTAGAAATATTAAATTTTTAATTAATAATAACCACCCAAATGAAAATGTACAATTATATTTTTTATACTTGTATTTTGTGTTTTTCATTAAATACTATTACTACCATTTCATGGCTTTAAATAAAATACATATACATTTTTAATTTTGCATGTAATAAAAACAACTACTTTACTTAAAAAACAATGTCTGTTTTCCATCTTTCAAAAATGTCTTGTCACAGCCTTGAATAATACAGTATTCCAATTCTGATGTATTATTTTTTATACCTGCAATTTTGTTTTTTCAAAATCATTATTAACAATAAATATACATTTATGTTAACCTCAAATTTAACTAAACTAACTATCATTCACACTTCTTTTTCGTTTTCTTGCAAACTTTGTATACTCATGTGACAGTAGATAAAGTGTTGGTACAATATTATTATTCTTCAAAATAGTTTGTCTAAAAAGTTGACTGTCTCGTCGTATAGTAATAGATGTAAAATCTTCCGGATCAAAATGAATTGAGCATATTTTTAACAAAGGATCAAATTTGTCTTTGCGCCCGCAAATTTTCCACCAGGTTTCACTAAGTGCCTTATTATCCTTTGGAAAGTTGATGAAAAATAAGATATCAAACTGGTCTCTTGCATTTTGATTACATAATACAACCGCACATTCTTGGTTTATCTAAAAATTTAAAATATTATTAAATATTTGCTTAAAATAATAAAATAACTGAACCAATATTTACAAAACTTGTTACAGATGAAGACAATGAGACAGAGTCTACTTCTATCATTGATTCTTCAATATCTACATTTTCAAGTTCAAATTCGGTGTCTGAAAGTGATGATAGAAAATCATCATCAAATCCATTAGCTTCAATCGAATTCTAAAAAAAAATTCTACATTTTAACAGCTCAAAATTATAAATTTGAATAAAATAGGCTTACACTTAAACTACTACAAGATGATGTACTTAGAGTTGAAACATCATCACTGGATTTCATATCACTAGTATTTGGTGTATCAAGTAAATCGTCAGAATTAATATCGCTTGTAGACAAACATTCACTGTCTTCAGAATCTGCTAATATCTTTCCATGTGTAATATCCTCAGGGCCGTCCTGACGGCTAAACTAAATTAATATAAGTAGGTTTAAGTAGTAAAAATTACAAAATTGAATGTATAAAAATATATAAATAATACATTTTGCTCATTAATTTGATTTTTTTATTGTATCTATAAAAGCAGGGCCTGTCCAACTGTGGCGAAGGCGGGAGGCCCGGGTTTAAGGCCCCGCTCGCCCTGCCCTAGGGACGGCCCTGAATATCTTATAGACAAATACATATACTTAAGCATTTTTCATAATTCATAACATACATACATACTATATATTTTATACTTTATTACATTTACTTACATCAATGATTGTAGTTGTAGGATGGATTATGGGACAAGCATCTGGTCTAAGCCTATTGCCCTTATTGCCACCTTCATAATCAGCAATATCAAAGTGCTCGTCACATATCCTACTTTTGTCAATTGGTAACCAATTTGGACGATTTGCCGCCATTATCCAAATGGGCAATAACTTCTCATCATCAAATGGAAATCTACAATAAAATACAGAATAATATTTCAATTATTTTCATTACAACTAGGTATAAGCAAGAATATAATATACTCATGTAATCGAACTCCATCATCAGAAATATTCAAACATCCCAAAACAGAACAACGATTTTCCATGGCAATGGTACATACAAACTCTCTTTATTATAAGAATTACAATTTACGCTGATTTACATTTAAAACAAGATTCATAAAATTTATATTATAATGTAGAGCTACCGTAATTATTAAGATCATCGGCTAGTACTTACTATAGCAGTCAGTACTCCGGTAAACCATAAACAGTCACGGACTAAAATATAAATATATAATGGCCTGGGAACGACAACGACAACTGACAAGTGACAAGTGACAGACAACTGACAAGGTGGGCGGCCGGCAACGGCCCGCAAAAGGTACCTCTGTTATCATCAACAATCATAAATGGAGATGGGCTCAGTTCTCCTACAACCAATGAGAACGGACTACCCCAATGTCACCAACTATGGAAAATCAAAATCTGAATACCGACTACCATTTTATCAGAAAATGATAAGCGGCAAATGAACGGGAGATGGATTTACTTTTTATTTTGGAAATAAATTTATTTATATGTCTTGTCTTGTTTACTGCTTAACAAACTGTCCGTCTATTGTTGGCTAATTTTTTTCTTTTGTTCCACCGAAATTATTATAGAATCGTTATTCGTTAATCGTCTCTGACGAATGTCGAGTGTCGACAATTTATTGGCGATTGCCATAGATGATAATATAAAATCTATTATATGCTAAATCCACAGAACTTGTATATTAAACTCAGTATCTCTAATACGGCCCATAATTGATAAATCGTATGTTCATTTACAGAAATCTTTGTGAACTGCTATATAAATATTCTAGTTTTCTATTTCTGTTATAGTTTGCATGACAAATTTAACTACAGAAACTGCAGGTCCACAAGTTTATAGACATTCTAATACATTCTCCATTCAGTGCCCCTACACACCGTGTTTGAGAAGTTATATTTTTTTGCTATCTAATTAAATTATAATATGAGTTATTAAAAGTTACCTATGTAGGTACTTATACAAAACTCGACTACCGGGATTAAAATAAAAAAATGTGATTTAGGACTTAGGTAACATATTGGCTATTGATCTATTATAAAATAGAAACTTACCCTACCGCAATAATATCACTATATAAAATAATTAAAAGTGATAATTTGAAGACAATTTCTTAAAACCCCTAAAATATTTTTTTTAATTACCTAAGTGTCTAATCCATGTATAGCTTAGCGCCCACGCAAATTTTTCAATTTATTTTTTTCGGAAACCTATGATTTGCAACCATTTCTAGGATTAATGATGCAACAATTAATTCACGGAAATCATTAGTTGTTATCGCATAGCCTTACGAAGTTCACGATTTTCGGTGTTTTTCGCACCCGTACAACGCTTAAAGTTTACCGAGCTTAAGTAGGTATAACAAATAACAATTTGTTTAACCTAGTTAAATCGACGTCTTCAGAATGATGATGCACAAATAATTCATAACAAGTCGAGGGATGTTTTTAATTATAATTGTCCGAGCGAGCACAGCGTGCAAGTTATACGCCGAAATAACTATATATGAAATAACCAAAAATTTCAATTTTATATAACTTTAAAATAGACTTCCCTATCATTTTCAATAATTATAATAGCAGTTTATACTTTTAAATGATCATTACGCTATATAATTGTGAATATTCAATTTGTATGCTAAAAAAAAAAATTCCCACAGAAGTGCGCAATATATAAAACAAAATTGCATAATAAATGTGCATTTTGTTAATTCATCTCTTCCAAGGTAAGATTGAATACATTATAATATTATAGAATACAATAGATAAATTTTAAGTAAGCACCAGATATAATTAACTAAGTACAACGACGTGTTGTATATAGATTGTATTAGTTAGTATTTTATTTTAACAACAACCGCGTTTATGTCTGCAACAATTACAATATTAAATAAATTACCCAAAGGAAAGGTTATGTTCAATCAAATTGGTTTAGTGGTTCTAGTGGTGCATAATTTATACAACATAATATATAATTTATATATAATATTATTATGCACATTGTTATTTCATATAGCTTGAATTTAATTTAATTTAAGAATGGCGTTTATATTTGTTTCTCATTTTACCTACTTGCTTTGAACAATATAATCTACCAATCTACGTACCGTAGTGAGCTTTCTAGAATAGTACAATCTCCTTTGAATTACTATAACCTATTGTCTGTTGTGTTGTCTTTAAATAACGAGAAAACTTGGTCGAACTTCTTACACGCCACTCGCTCGAAGTTGCCGCATGCAGTGAACATTAAACAAACCACAAGCGATATGGCATGGTCATACCTAAGTCATAACTACTCTGATGTGTTGCGTGTTCCACACAATATTCAGTTAATGCACATAATTCGTCATAATAAATATCAAAACTTAACGTCTCCATTCTTGCAAAATATAATTGTGAGTGCAGATGTTAATTCGTTTACGGTTTATATTGGCAGATTTCGTTTGGAAAATTGCTCGAAATATTCTCTTGTAATAATAATAAACGAGTAATGCAAGTTTCTCAGAACCTTTAAATAAAAAATCATGTACCTATACCGGCTATACCGTACACTCGCAATATACTAGTTAATAAAACAAACTGTTCCACTACTCTAACTCTAGTAAAGTATTTAACCGCATACATCTTTACACAAATGTTATTTACAGTAATTAGGGACCACAGTATTTTTATTCTCTTTTAAAGTTAACAAAGTAAAATTAAACTGATTTCCAAATCAGTTGGTAAAAATAAAACACAAAAAGTGTGCGACAGCAATAGAATTGTTCACAAAAACAAAACGTATAGTAAATATTAAATGATAAATTTTCTAAAATAATCAATAAAAAAAAAAATTAAAAATTTTTTTTTAAAAACATGCTTTTCTTAATTCTACTATAATACATGAACTAAAAAGTTGAAAATAAACTTACTTTTAAAACAATTTCTTAATGAAACTTCAAGGTTATCAAGATATTATTAAAAGTGTATCTAAAATGTATTTGTTGCAAAATTTTTAAAACTTGTGAATTACAAAAAACGAAATGCATGGGGAAGAAATGCAGTCAAGAATATCTCTTACAAAATTGGAAGTATAATCATTAATCAATGATCTTTAAAATACTTATCATAAAGTTTATCTAATGATTCAGTTGTAGAGTGACTTTAAATAGGAGTTATCATAAGTGCCCCATGCTTTTCGTTTTTTTTAATTCACAAGTTTTAAAAATGTTGCAACAAATACATATTAGATACACTTTTAGTAATATATTGATAACCTTGAAGTTTCATTAAGAAATTGTTTTAAAAGTAAGTTTATTTTCAACTTTTTAGTTCATGTATTAAGTAGAATTAAAAATCATGTTTTTAAAAAAAAAAAATTTATTTTCTACTTTTTATAGTGATAACAATAAATTAGAAACAAAGGATTTTTTGAAAGCATAATTTTTTTTATGTTTTTTTAGTCTCTTTATTTCTCATGTTTAAAGAATTAATATAATTATAATATTCAACAGACAACAACTCACCGTAGAAAAATTCTTAAAGAGCTTCCTTCTTGCTTCACGAACTAGTATAAAATGATTAAATATTGAAACACCTATCTATAATAATATTGTTCTGTGTCAGGCTCCACCTATTTTAGCCCCCACTACATCAACCGTTCGAGGTCCGTGGTCGTAGTAAAGCCACGCCCATGCGCACAACTTGACCGCCATAGCCTGATCTTATTTTGAATAGACTATAGAATAATATAGAAGCGACACTCCCCCACTTTACTTTTTTTTTGACCAAGTATAACTTAGCGGGTATTTCACTTAGAGACTCCGGACCGAGGGGATCTCAGTTTTTAAGGCCCGAGATGAATTTCCACCATTAGGGAACCAAATCCCCCCCCCCCCTAGAACAAAAGAAAGTATATACATGAAATGTTCACTGGTTGTGAATATTTGCATTTTCTATACACTTAGAGTTTCCACGTAAATAGGTTAGAATATATAAATTACTTTATTCACAATAATATCATCAAATATACTTGGTGATATCATAGGCTGACTGACCGTTTTCGCTCAGAATCGTTTTTCTTAGACTATGATATTATATCATAGAATTCAAATATAACACCATCCATTACAGTACTACATCCATTACCTACTTGCCAACCTTAAACCTTTTATATATATATATATATAAATTATAGATCTTACATATTACGCGAGCAGAGGCGTCCGCAGGATTTTTCAATGGGGGGGGGGGGCTTGAAAATTAGTTACAAATTTATTTTTATTTTGTCCAGTCCAAAAATTTCAGACGTTTATTTGATTTACCTATTTTAAAATGTTTGTAACTTTTCAACTTTTCTGGTAGAAAAAATGCTCTTATCATAAGCTTCGATGCCCAGTGTATGTTTTTGGAAGCAAATTGGATCTAGTTGGTACTTTTAGGAGGTCAAAATTGAATCTGCTCAGTGCTTTTAAAAGTACCTAATTGGAGAAAAAAAAATGAAAACTTATTTAAATTGTTTAGTAACAATAGCTTGGTTACAGTGACGTATTTATGGGGGGGATATGGAGGATAGACCCCCTCCCATACCCATGTTTTTCCATGTATAAAGTACAAACTGCTGCAGTACTGTTGTTGTTTATAATTTTGTTATCCTGTGGGCATGTGAGTGACATTACATTACACAACATTTATTATTATTATATACCTTACATGGAGTAGGTAACTAACAAAAAGTTGCAATAGCACAAAACAAATTTTGATATCCCCCTCCTAAAGAAAATCCTATATACGCCCCTGCTTGGTTATATAGTCCTCACTTGGATTGTATTTGACTAATTAAATTTTTTTTTATAAATGTCAATAAAAAATTATTTATCCAGTCGAAAAGCTTAAAAATGTAATACGCAAGTTTTTTTTACATAATATGCATTTAAAGTTCAAAACAATTTAACCACAGTTAATTTGTAGTTCAAAACTTATAAAATATAAAATATGTATAGCTAAGGCTAGACAATTTAATACAAGGTCTTACA